AAGTACCCTGTCTGTTCTGTTTTCTTCTTGAAACCCCAGGGCATGTAGGATATATAACAGGTGCTCTGTAATTATTTCTTGAATAAATTGACAGAGTAAATTAAAATTACATATGAGTATTATGGGAAAAGAGCATGCGCTTGTTGATTTCTTGATAAAATATAAATGAAACTTCTAAAACAATTTGGATATTTCTAGGCCTAGGGTAATAAATGAATTATTTAAAGCTCTCTGAATTATAACTATACATTCTTCTTGACCAGTACGTCATTTACATCTCCTAGCTGTGTTTCCTTGGAGAGCTAGAAAGGCAAACGGTTTTGAGTTAGTGTGTCATAAATTTAAAGGGCAAAATGAAGGTTCATCAAAATTGTGTTCATTCCCTTCAACCCTTATTCCTGTGCACAAATTCTGCCTTCATTTCAACTCTATAAGGACTTCGGGTACTTTTGATCACCTTTCTCTCTTTTCGAATCATGCTTACCTACCTTTTTGCATAAAAGTGAATCTTCCTTCATTTAGGCTGCTAGAATTTCTCTTCTGGTTTATTATTTCTTAGATTTCCAACTTTGTCTTGTTTAATTTCTTCTTATGTATTACTGTGTAGCTTGATGCAGAAACATAGTCTTTTTCCATCCAATTTTGAGGTCTAAAATTTCCCTTATCTTGTTGTTGGTCCCTTTGTCCTCATCCTTCAATCTTTGTCCTTAACTCTTTAAATCTCACTTTTTGTATTATGTAGTATTAAAATATAATTATACTTTTGTTTAAAAAAGATACTTTATTATTTGTATTTTTATCTTCAAAATTTGCAATTTTTTAGCTTACAAAAGAAGTAAAAACAAAAAGTAATCAAGTATAGCAGACAAAAATTGAATGTTGTCTACATTGCCATGCTTCATAAATGTCTAATATTTTAATAGACATTATTAAATGTATTTTGGTGTATATTACCCCATATTCTTTTCCCATGCTCTTGCTAATGTGTCCATACATATATATTTGTGTATACATAAATAAAATTAAACTATGTATACAGTTTTTTCTTAATAATTTATCCAGTGAGTATTTATAGATCTACATCATTTTTTTTATAGCTCTATATTATTCCTTTCAATGGATGTGCCAAATTTATTTAAACATTTCCCTATCTATCCACATTTAGTTGGTTGCAGATTTTTACTGTTATAAGCAATGGTGAAATAAATAGTCTTTGTTTTTTAAGTTATGGGGTTTTTCTGTAGGATGAGTTTCCTAGAAGTTGTACTGAAGAGTTAGATGCTACTTAACATTTATTTAAAATGTGTATCCTTTCTCCCTTCTGTAAACCTCTTCAAAAACACAGTGTAATTTAAGCAAATGAGTTGCCATTGTTTTAAGTGTAAATTAACCACAAATAGTACTTAACATTTTAATTCTCTTAACCTAATTTCTTATATAATATTTTGCCTTATTTTCCCCTGTATTACTATTTATTAGATGAACCAACTAAAGATGGGGAAAGGGAGTGATTGATAATGACTGCAGTACTTTACATTGTCTAATATGTTTAGATAGACATGTTAATTTATAATTTAGCTGTATGATCAAATCAACTAAAGTAAATTTAAACTGAATCATTATGTTACCTTCCTAGGGAACAGTATACCAAAAATATTGCTGAACAGGAAAACCTTGGAAAGGTAAGAATTTTTTTTTTTTAATGTGTCTAATTCCAGCTTTCAGGATATGGTAATGCCATTGTCATTTTTTTTAAAAGGTTATAGTACAGTTTTCAAGGGGAAATTGAAACCTTCTTATTCCCTTTCAAAGATGAAGACTCTTCCTTAGGAATTTAGTTTTATAAAAGTGAAGGCACATGAACTTTGGGGGCAAAAAATCTAGTTTTAAGTAACAAAGAGTTCATGCATTAACAAAAAGTGCCATGTGTAATGAACTACAAGTTTCAGATTATTCTTAGGTATCTGTTTATAAGTATAAACTCATTCATTTATTTTATGTAATAAACACAAAGCTCTTACTGTGAGCCAGGGGTTGGTCTAAGTCCTTTATAAACATTGATTCATTTAATACGAATTATCAAAAAGACTTCACTTGAGATACTCAGCTTCCTGACAGTCTTATATGAGACCTCCTGAAAATAGAAGTGTATAATTGAGTCTTATTTTCTTAGTTCTCTGAGCCACTCCTAGTAGAAGTGGTATACAGTAAGGACCTTGACCATCAGGACTAAAGTGACCAACTAATTGATTTTTCTAGTTATAAAACAACACATTTTGACAGTCATTTTAAAGACACCAGCTCTGTCATCCTTTTTTTTAAAGACCTGTATCTATCAACAACTGCCAGGACCTGCTTTCAAGTAGACTGGCTTCAGTCCTAGGTTTGTGGTTCTGGACAAACCCCTTTACTGCTTTGGAGTTCATTTCTTCCTGTTTAAACTGAAATAAGTAGATTAGATATTTAAAGCTAATTACCTAGGTGAGTTCTAAAATCATCTTCAATGATTTTAAGTCCATGTTTCATAATGAATGCTAACTGTGCTTCTCTGTCCACCATTTTATCTGTTTCTTATTTAGTTTCCCTATTGAAAATTGAAGTTTCTTACTAGTTTTTCTAGTAAGAGTGTCAAGTTTGTAGCATCATAGTTAGGAATTGTTAGCTGCATTTTTTCTTGTAAAATACTGGTTATATATGGGTGTCTTATTTCAATGTTCAAATATTCTTGAGTCTGAAACCTGGAAATGGTTATATATAGGTATATACATATACCTATATATAAAAGCTTGTCCATTCTGAAAGTACAAATGAAAAATATGGCTTTGTTTCAGTCTTAATGTATTGTACAGTTTAGCTGTTGTTTGACTCAGTAAACTGATGATGGTAAAATTATTTTTTACCTTAAAAAATTTACATTTTTTTATTTGAATCGTTATTAAAAACATACATGTATCTGCTTCTGTATAAAAGCTGAATTAGCTCCCATTCCACCCGTAAGTAATATTCTAAATGTGGACTTCAGAATAATAAATAGTATAGAAAAGAATGGAGTAATTGCTAAATAGACTTTTAAAAAATCTTTTTGAAAAAAAACTTTTTAAAAAACTACAAAAATTAAAATCTCTTATTATGGAAAATTTCAAGTCTATATAAAAAAATACAGGAAATAATGTAAAGAACTCACACATAACCATCACCCAACTTCAGTAATTAAATTTGTGACCAGACTTGTTTTCTCTGTGGTCCCACCCATTTCAACCCCCAAATTTGCCCATTTTTAGGTAAGTCTCAGAGACTTTATTATTTTATCCGGTCATATTTCAGTATGTATCATAACCCATCTTTTTTAACAGAACCACAATACCATTATCATGCCAAAAATAATTTAACAGTAATTTCATAATACCCAATACCCAGTCAATGTTCAGACTTCATCAGTTGTCTCATAATTCCTTAATGGTTTATTTGTACAAATCAGGATCCTAATAAGAGTCTATACATTGCTATTATTTGACATAGCTCTAAAGTTCCTTTTCCTCCATCATTTTTCTTTGCAATTTATTTGTTGGCAGAAAAAAACTGGTCATTTGTCATTTTCCAACGTTCTGGACTTTGTTGATGGCCTCACTGTGCTGCCAGTTAGCATGTTTTTCTGTCCTCAGTATGTCCTGTGAATTGGTAGTTAGATCTAGAGGCTTGCTTAAATACGATTCGATATTGGGGAAGCATACTTCACATGTAGTAGTATGTATTTCTATCAGGAGGCTCTCTTTGTGTAATGTAGGCAGCCTTTGAAAATCACTTTCTTAATCCATTAATTCATTAAAGTTTGCAAGCAGTCATATTCTAATTATGTTGTTCCTTCATTTATTGGGTGAGATTAATTAAATTACACTAAATTACAGTTCATATAGGAAAGGCAGAATAACTGCTTGATTTGTTTATTACTGGTTTGCAAAATGATGGGTTGGTTTTTTATCATCTTTCAAAAGTATCTTTATGATGTCTAGATTTAACATGTTTGATATATTTCAGTCTGTTGTGATTATTATTCCTATCCATGCTCACATTTGCCTATCTTTTGCCAGTGGAAGCCTCTTGAAGTCAGCTCTTGAATCTTTTTGAAACAATCCTGCTAGACTTTGATGACTTCTTTATTTTCTGGAATGACAAATGTTCCAGGCTCATTCTGTTCGTTCCCTATTCCAAACCCGGAATCAGCCATATCTATAAAAAGTATTCATCTGTTCTTTTTGTATGAATTGTGAATAAATATCCATCATATTAATGCAAATAAGTAAAAAATGAGAAGAAACATTAAAGCTGATTCCTCCATTTTAGAGAGAAATTTTGACTTCTGTACACCTTATTCCATTTATGGGATGACATGCCATACTCAAAAAGAAAAAAATAATTTTCATATTTGAAAGGATGTATTTGAATCAAGTTGTGCATTTATTTGTACAGTATTTTAACTAGAGATTTTTGAGGTTTTAGGATTTAGTATGATTGTCAATAATTGACTTTCATATAGATATTTCATATGTAATGTACTTTTTCACATGAAAACATGCCTCTATTTCATTTACTTTGAAAAGTATCTGAATGGATGCTCTGTGTAGAGAAATATTTATCAAATCTTGAATCCTTTCAGAAGTCCAAACTTAATTGCTAAATCTGATTAAATATTATTCTTTCCTCTTCTCGTTTAGTGTTTTATTGCAGGATCTTTGGAGAAAGCAATAGTGGTAGTCTGATATCAAGCATACTTCAGCAAAACGAGCCATTGATTAGCTGCTTCTCCAGTTGTCAGAAATAAAGCTTCTATAAATAAATAAATAAATAAATAAATAAATAAATAAATAAATAAATAAATAAAATTATCTCCCCCTAAACAAAAGAAAAGAAAAGAAACAAAGCTTCTTGATCCTCTCACTCCTTAGAGTAGATGTAAATTTTCAAGGCAAACACAGAACAGACCTAGGCTTTCAAAGAGATGATAGCCTAAGCCTTCCAAATCAGCAAGGACTGGACATCCACAGGCCTCCTTAGGCCAACTGAGTTTCTGAAATTAGACCAAGGTATAGTGCTCCAGTTCACACTGACATACTAGAATCTGCCTTACCAAGTGCTATGGAATATTGTACTGAGAGTTGTAACTTTTCCTTTCCCAAACCACCTCCTCCTTTAAAGCACAATGAAATCTGTGACAGGTATTTTTTGTGCATTGCAGCTCTCCACGAAATAAATCTGTATTAAGTGACAGTAACATTAAAAATAAATTATATTCTAAAGGCAGTTGTATTCATAAAGTTAAAGGTTCCAAACACACGTGGTTATGAAGCAAATTAAATTTAATATTTCTGACACAGGCAGTGCTCACATCCTGTCTTTGGTTCTTTAAATAACTTTTGTAAGTTGTTAGAACTTTTGACAAGGAAATTATTCCAATAATACAAGAAAACTTACAGTTTAAGTAGTACCTAAGTCTTAAAATCATGCTCAATACTCTCAAAACTCTTGATATGACTTACTACTTTTGTTTTAGTTTATGAGGATAAAAATATTTGTTGTAAAATACTTTATTTGTAACATAGACTTAAATAGATGTATTTTCATACCAGGTATTGTTTCAAAAATTTCCTGGTTATATTTAAATTATATTTTCTTAATTCTGTTTTGTTGTCTATTGCTATCTGCTATTAACTTTGCTTTCATTAACTGTAGGTGAGGAGGGCTCTTCAGTAAGTGGTTTGAATCTGGCCTCAGCTTAGTTTAGCCTCTCATTTTGGGTAACAACCAGCCTTCTCACTTGTGCTCTTAAAACGAATATTAGATCAGCTGTATGTACTAAAAGAGGAAAAGATGGGGATGTTCCTGTGTAATATGTTTCTGTGTCTTTGCTTGTTTTTCTGCCCTCCTTGGTGATTTCTCACATTCTGTGTCAGTGTGTGTCTGTCTTTCACACTGTTTCCTCATGTGTGTACTATCATCTCTGTTTTTCTCTTCTTTCCTCCCTTCTTATTTCCTCCCATTGCCTCTGACTTTGTACCACCCCCTTTTTCAGTCATCCTTTCTCAATTGGCCATAATACACAACCAAAGTATAGTTTTGCAATTTACTGATAATTTTCTTATCCCTGTTTAGAATTTTAGGGTCAGTAAGTAGAACAGTTTTGGCAGATGAAACTGTATAGGCTACTAGGAACAAAAACAATTATAATAAGGATTTGAGCCTTTTTAGAAAATCACTAGACCTTCTCCCTGAGGAATATTTGCTTACAGTTTATTTGAACAAAGAGCATACCCTTAGAGCATACTGGAGATAGATTCAGGAAAGAATATAATCTTTTTTTTAAAACATTTTTTATTGAGTTATAGTCATTTTACAATGTTCTGTGAAATTCCAGTGTAGAGCACAATTTTTCAGCTATACATGAACATACATATATTCATTGTCACATTTTTTTTTCACTGTGAGCTACCACAAGATCTTGTATATATTTCCCTGTGCTTTACAGAGAATATAATCTTTAATAATGATAACAACATGTATAACGCATGATAGTTTATCAAGTACTTCCATATTGGTTATCATATGGAAAAAATTATATATAAAGCAAAATTTCTTTAGAAATGGGTGAAAGGGTCAAAAGTCAAAAACAAAAACAAATCTGTTGAATGAATATGTTGGCTGAACTGCAATTTGAGTCATCGCTTACAAAAAACAAGAATATAGAATTGACTTTACTCATTCAACCTTCATTCAACAAATATTATTTAGTACTTTTAACCTAGAATTTTTATCATAATGTATACATATAGCTCATGAATGAGTAAACATAAAGTTAAGTATATTGAGATAAAACAATAACTTCCAGTCTACATTTTCTCCATTGAGCACAAAATCAGCTTTTTTTATCCCCTATTACTGGCCGTAACTGACAATTGAGAAAACTGAGGTCCAGGGAAATTGTCTTCCTTATCGGTAGTGACAAAACCAGCATTAGAACTCAAGTCTTCTAACTTCCAAAGTCTGCATTTTTTTATACAGTATGATACTGCTACACTTTCCTGATTCCCTTTACTTTTCCCTCTTTCTTTCTTTTATTTTTTTCTCGTCTTTTTAACTTTAGGTTGTCCTACATCTATCATAAGTTTAATTAATGTTTATCATCCTAGTTTTTATATATCATAGGAGAATCTGATTCAGCTAACCATTATTCATCAAATGTACAAAGCATACCATATTCTTCTGATTAGAACAATAGAAGTAAATCCCCATAAATGAGATTTAATTATTCTTGATTTTTTTTTTTATGGTAGAAACTCCGGGAAAAACAAAAAGCTGTACGAGAAAGTCATGGTCCAAATATGAAACAAGTGAAAATGTGGCGTGATTTTGAACAATTGATGGAATGCAAGAAACAGTGCTTTCTGAAACAACAAAGCCAAAATTCCATTGGTCAGGTAATTCAGGAGGGAGGAGAGGATCGGCTGATACTCTGAGTTCATGTGTCATCGTTTGGGGTTTCAGTTGATACTACTAGCTATAACCGTAACCCCACAGTGTATTTCTTTTCTTGAAAGTGATTTGTACAGCATCTTGTTTTCAGATTAGCCATTCCGTATTAAGTTTTCTTGGAAAATAATGTTAAAGTAGATTTAGGCTTTAAAAGTTTTTTAATATAAAAAAGAGGCTCTTATTATTTTGCTTAGTTTAGATATCACTGGTGTCTCCTGAGTTTTATGAGACAGGAGACGACGGGGTTTACTATCTGTAAATGTAAACATATGTCCATTAAGAAACATGTAGGGTTTTTTAAAATGTAATAACCCAGTGGCTTAATGTTTTTCTTAATCTTTTTTTAACTTTAGAGGAATCTTTTAGGAACTAATATCTCTTGTTTTGAGGAAACATTTATCTGAAGTTCAGCAATTCCTACAGTTTCACTTCAGTTTCTTTTTCTTCTGTAAAATTCAAGCAAATTTAATATTTCACACAACGTATTTGTTCCATTTGTATTATTTAAAAGCAAATAAAACTCGGTCACATATCACGGCTATTTATTTAAAATTTATGTAGTGTCAAATTTTATTCTTTTTTGAGTAAGTATTCATGCTATAGTATTGTATTAAATGTAAAGATTGTTACTTATTTGCACCAAAAAATCTAATATAGTACTTAGGTCTTGGGGACTATTATTTTACATATAAAAAGTTGTCATAGGATATAGGTGTTGTCATGTGCTAAAAAAGCACAAGATTTCAAGTAAAATTCAAGAGTTCAAAGTGCCTCTAATCTCTGCTTCATTTGGACAAGGTAGCTGAAGATTTCTTTGATTTTTTCTTTAAAGAAAGATGCTAAATTCAGTTGCCACCCTTTATGTCCTTTCAGTTTCAGTATACTTTTCAAAATGTCTTTCCTGTGGATTTGAAAACTCTAGCATATCCGTCTTGGGTTGTTTCTTTTTAGCTTTCCTGAAAAAAACAAACACCACATTTTAATGAAGAAAATTGTTTCTACCCTGTGCAGGATATACAAACTTGGTTAATGGCTTTGCATCTCTTTGTTCTAAATGTGTTCTATTCTTAATTTTTGCTTGAAAGCTTCCTTCTTGGTAATCAGAGAAACTTATTAGTATGGAGGTCATTGGTAATTCTAGGAGGTATCGCAAAAAGAGATGGGACCCATCAGAGTATGAAAGTATAGAAAGAAACTTCTTTTAACATATTTTAAGAAGACAAAGAAGCATTTCAGTATTATTAAATGGTTTGCATCTGATCCTCAGCTTACTTTAGCTATTTACTTGGGCAAATATTGGTTATTAGCATTCTCATTTGTACCCTTAGATCAACTATTAGGTCAGCCATATACTAAAAGAGGAAAGACTGTGTTCAGTGTGTGGAAGCAAATCCTTCTTAATTTGGTAATCAGTTTTTGAACATTGAGGTAGCTGTGTTTGTTCACTGTTGGCTACTGTTGGCTTGCTATGTTTAAGCCAGTAGTAAGTGATGTTCATTTAACCATAGTATGAATTCTCTTGCAAATATTTGAAAAAGACTAGATGCCCTTCCAAGAAACAGCATTTCATTCCCTGAAGGAGCATCACTTTGTAAAATTACTAAGCCTAGTGATTAGTTTTTTTAGCCTTCATATCTTTGGTGCTCTTCTCTTAATTTTTAAAATTGTTAATGACAGATACTCCAAGGACTGCTTATAATTCTGACTTGGCTATTGCTTGCCATCTTTAATCTACATGGAAAGAATTGTGGATTAAACACTAAGGCAGCTCCAAAATTACTTTATTAACTGAAGCAGAACATCATTATTACTTCAAGAAAAACAAATTGAAAAAGAAGCCCTAAAAGTACAAAGTTATTTATAGTTTTTATGTAACGTTGGACATTTAGTAGTGCAGCTTAATGGGTTTTGTACAGTGATTTTAAACTCATTTTATGATTTGATTGGAACATTAAGAAGCTTTGACTAACTCTGACAGTTTTTGACAGCTGGCACCTACAGAAGAAGAGCTCGTTACATTTTTCCTTCAGGATTGATACTCCCGCTGGCTAATTGATGAGAGAGATAATCGTTTTGGAGAATAATCTGTCTTCCACATGATGGGCCAAATAAAGGAGAAAAATGTAGCCTGTGAAATCTGCTTCTGTGTTCGCAGATTTTCTCCTCCTAGGACTCAGTGTCGCCAGCTGTTGCATGGGACTGACTATTTAAACTGTAAATTTCAAAGGCTACTACTTACCTTGCTTTCCGTATTAGTTGAGGAAATCATCCAACTTTAAAGGTTGTCCTTTAAAAAGAATCTTACAATAGGATACTCTCTTTTCTGTTACATAAATCTATTAACAACTGAATCCAAGATCCTGTGTTTCCCAGGCCAAGAGTGCAGCAGAAGAGTCTTAGAACATTGTTCGAAAGCATGTGGAAATTAAACCGTATCTTGGGAAACTGTAGAACAGTTAACTTTCTTCTTCTTTTTTTTAAGCTTAGTTTTTTTGGGGGTGGGGGAGGGAGGTAATTAGGTATTTACTTATTTGTAATGGAGGTGCTGGTGATTGAACCCATGACCTCATGCATGCTAAGCATGCACTCTGCCACTGAGCTATACCTTCCCCCACCCACCTGCTTTCTTCTTTAGATTAATACTTTCTATCATTTTGCTTTAACGCAGCAGACAGCACTAATGAAAGAAGCCATTTCATTAAACTATTAGTTTATATAACACATATAATTTTTTTGAAAAGTTTTTTTAAGGCTAAATATAATTTTTTTTTACATTTTTTTATTTGATTCATAATCATTTTACAGTGTTGTGTCAAATTCCAGTGTTCAGCACAATTTTTCAGTCATTCATGGACATATACACAC